CGTGACCCATTTATATCCCCTCCAAGTGAAAGTGTCTATTTGTAGGTCCGTTAATGGTGAATTTGCAGTGGGCGTCTCTTCCTGTATTGCTCTGGGAGGGTGCCTATCGTATTTGGTGGTTAAGCATATTTCACAAGCCCCAATGACCCCTTTGATTGTTTGCCTCATCCCCCACCAAAAATACTTCCGTTTTAGTGCTTGCAATGTCTCTTGTATTCCTCGATGATTCGTCTTACCCTGGTGATATGCGATCGTCACCTCCTGTTGGGTCTCTTTATCCTTCAGTGTTTCAACCTTCAGGGTGCATCGAATAAATCTTCTGTCCGTACCGATTTTCTCTGACCGCCTGTCTGGTTTTGATACATCCTTGAGTGCGCGACAAATTAAGTCCTCTTTAATTCCTGGTTGCGACCAGATTTTAGTGATCTTGCACTTTCCATACTCATGGGGGTCTATGGTCCGTCTGGACTCTAAATTTCCTGCCAAACACGTACGGCCTGAAATGATTAATGGCCCACACGATCCCGAGCAGCTCCCTTTCTAACGCGCTATATCTTGTTTCGGTATCCGTGAGGCGCCTGCTGCCGTAAGCAACTGGTCTTTCTCCTTTGTCCCCTTCCTGTGACAATACCGCCCCCAATGCATACTCACTTGCGTCTGTTGTGATGGTAAATTTTCTCAAGAAGTCTGGAAATGCTAACACTAGCTCATCTTGCAGTCTCGTCATGCATTGCCTAATATTGTTTTCCATCTCGGGTGTAATTACCACTTTTTTTGAGTAGGTTATTAAGAGGTACTAGATATTTTGCCATTTCAGGAACAAATCGCCTATAGTAGTTCAATGACCCTAACAATCTCCGTATTCCTTTTATGTCTCTCGGAATTGCCATTCTTTCTATTGCCTCTACCTTGCTTCTATCCGGTTTCACACCCTCTTTCGAAATTGTATGACCTAAAAAATTGATTTGCCCCTGACCCAAAAGTGACTTTTCCGATGACAATTTTAGACCAAATTTCCTAAGCCTTTCAAAGACACTTCGTAAATGTTCCACATGCTGCTCTTCCGTTTTACTGAATACTAGTAAATCATCCATATAGACTTGGCACACGGCTTCGTCAATACCCCTCAAAAACTCATCCATAAGACGCTGGAACGTTATCGGCTCGTTTTTTAAGCCGAAAGGCATTCTTGTAAATTCGTAATGTCCTCTTTCAAACGTAAATGCCGTCTTATGCTGATCATTGGGGTGCATTTTGATCTGATGATAACCTGCTTTCAGGTCCAACGTACTAAAGAATGTTGCTCCGCTCAGTCTATCCAGGATGTCCTCGAATCTGGGGATCGGGTATTTTTCATCTACAGTGTTTTCATTTAGTTTCCTGTAATCTATGACAACTCTATACTTTTCCTGGCTTTCGCCCGGCGCACCCTTTTTTTTCACTGCCCACAAGGGACTGTTATATGGTGACGTGAAATGAAATGAAATGAAATGAAATGAAAATGAAATGAAAAAAATGTTTTATTATTCTGGGACTGTTGTCCCTTAAGAACAAAATATGAATACAGATTATATGTCTGTGTGGCTACAATTAAATTGTATATTTACAATGAAAGTTGACTTACGATAAAAATACAGAAAAGAGAAAAAAAAGAACAAGTAAATTGTACATATGTATGAGAAACTAAAATAACCTTAATAAATTGAGGTAGTCTCTGGTGGTGCTCAGATATTTCTCTAAGATATATTTCACAATCATTCGGATTGAGAAAGGAGTAGGTGCTTAAAGAGGAGTGGTTTAAACGAGGAAACTGATTGAGCGTGTCGAATATCAGCTGGGATGGAATTCCAGAGGGAGGCGGCTTGTATTGCAAAGGATTTGTCAAACGCAGCAGTTCGGTGAGGAGGAGGATAGAGGTCGGAAGTACGAGATCTGGTGGGACGGGATTGGATGGAATATTTGAATTGTAAGCTGTGAAAAATATAGGAGGGTCGATGGGTTCTAATAATTTGGTACAGAAAGGTGGCTAGGAAGTACTGACGGCGATAGGATGGGTAGAGCCACCTCAACTCAGTGTAATACTGGGTAATATGCGTATCCCTTGAGATTCCGAAAACAAATCGTAGTGCGCAATTCATTAGGCGTTTAAGTTTGGCCTCGGAATCTCCCGGGAGTCCACCGTACACCATACAGCCATAGTCGAAGTGGGGGAAAACAAGGGAGGAAACTAGGAGTTGACGGGACTTATATGGAAGGAGATATCGTAGACGATTGAACTGTTTTTTATGATTATGTGCTGTCTATTATGATACCCTGTTTCTTTAAGTTTATTATTTCTTCTCTGATATGTTGTCTTAACGCATGCGGTACCCCCCCTCCCCCTTGCTACCATATCACCACTCTATTCCAGCTATCTCTTGGAACAGGTTGGTTTTCTATCTTATTTCAGTCTTCTCCTTTTTTTTTTCCTCCTTCCTTTCATTCCTATTCTCTGTTTTAACTCTTTATTCTATTATACGTTGTCAGTACATTTTGATAGACTTTACAATTTCTCAATTTTCTATCTAAGTATTCTATTTACAATATCTTAATTTTACTATTTATTTTTATTTCTTATATAACTTCATATTCCTTTTTTTCTGTTTTACATTTTATTCTAAGATTACCATTTTAGTACTTATGTCACCTTATTTTGATTATGTTTACTTCATTATTCCACACTTTGTAACGGTTATTATTATTTATTTTATACTTCTTGTTATTGTCATTATTCTACCCACTTCATTTTACTTTAATTTTTTTACCTACATTGTTTATGTTTCTCATACCTTGTTATCTGGTTCTTTTCTTAGCCCTGATGAAGGCCTGAACTTCAGGTCGAAATGTCGGCAAATGTTAAAATAAATATTATTATTTATTTTTGCCTTTTTATTTCTGACTGATCACCCCAACCATCCTTCTCTTCACATATGAAATATATTATAATATATATATATATATATATATATATATATATATATATACACACACACACACACACACACACATATATACTATATATCATATAATCATTATATGAAACTGCATAAAGATTGAATTCCCTTTCCAGACCCACCAGTCCTTGGAGAAATACGCTATAATTTTAAATGAGAGGGTATATTTGCTTCATTTATGGAAAACATGTAATGGTCCTCGACAGTGTTGCATATAGATCATCTATCACTTATATTAACTTTAATTAGCACTAAGCCACCTTTTGTACAACCGTAGATATTTCTTTTCTGCTTAGCATTATACAAATGTAGGAGAATCATGGGGTGTAGAGAAACATTGGGCTGGATAGTATAGTGGTCTTTGCTTATTGATCTTCTCTCTCAGGCATAACTGTCATTCACAAAAGTTTTCAAAACTGAAATTGCATGTTTAAGGAATATATATGCTTGCTGTGCCAGCCTAAGACATTGGCGCCTCCTTTTTGCTGACGTTTCGACCCACTTTGCAGGTCTTCATCAGGGCTACAAAACATGGTGAAAATTAAATAAATGAAAATAAGAAGAATTTGTCTGATACAGAAATAAAAAGATGATATCAGAGATATCATTGGAGAGAGTGGGTGACAATGTAGTTAAAAAAATAAGTATTATATATGTAGAAGATACAAACAAAAATGGAAAATAAATATGAATAAAAATAGAAAATAAAGGAGAATATAGCATGTAAGTTAAAAGTAAACAGATTGCGATAAAAGATAAGGAATGAGTGTATAACAAACTAATAAAGATTACATTTGATAACTGTAGGTTAACAGATAAATAAAATGAATGTTAACGAATAAATAGATTGAAAATTGAATAAGTATTGATAAAGCTTTTCATTTGAAAGGGTGAAAGAGTTTGTCTATCTCGATTCAAAAGTAAATGCGGATAATGTCATACAAGCAGAAATCCATCACAGAATTATGTCCACAAAAAAATGCTATTTTGGATTATTGAAGCATTGAGAGGAGCAGGGCTATCTCTCAAAACACAAAGGTGAAACTGTACATGACTCTGGTAATACCAGTTCTCACTTATGCCTCCGAATGCTGGACATCACCCTGCTCACAGAAAGCTGTGTACCGGATGTTCAAACCTTCTCCTAAGGTTTGAGAGGAGAATTTATGGCCTAGTTTGTGCCAATGGAATCTGGAGGATAAGGTTGAGTGCTGAGCTAACAAGAATCTACAAGAGCTCAGCTATCGTAAGGGTAATTATAGTAGGGCAGGCTTTGATAGGCAGGTCATTTAATTAAAATGACCCAGGATCAGATTCCTAGGATGGTTCTAGATGAAAGGATTGGTGTGGGAAAAGAAGAATGGGAACACCTCGGCTCCGATAGATCGATGGAGTGGCAGCGGATGCCAGGTCCATTTTGGAAATCCACAATTGAAGAACAGCGACAACCAGTAGAGAAGACTGGTGGACAAAGCTGCAGGAGGCTTTGACTCTACAGGATTTGTAGCACCACGGATGAATGAACGATACTTTCCCTTAGCAAGTATTCCATTTATAGCTAACCTAAACGCTACAACACTGGGTGGGTCTTGGTCTCCTCAAAAAAGTTGCCTCTAATTGGATCTGTTTCATGTATAGTTGAATGTAAAATTTGATATAAAATTCTGTCTTTGTATAAAACTGAGTTTGGCTTTGTCATAGGATAGAGTGATTGGACAGATGATTCATAAATTTACTCAGCTTTAAACTTGGTATTTGACATTTCTCAAGGAATGAATTAGGTGGTTATAGCAGCACATTGCTACATACCCCTGGGGTCCTTTGATAGAACTGTCATGGCACTGGTTTGGTTATTTATTTATTTTTTATAGTTTTCTTTATTTACATTAATTAATAAATTTATAAATTGTCAATGAATCTAAAAAAGTTTATGAATATAAATAAAAAAACTAATAATGTTTAAATTTTTTAAAATAATTGTTATAACAATGTATTCATGCTTTATAGGGAACAATTGCTCATGGTTCTGTTACACATTACTTCTGTTATTCTTAATCCTTCACCGCCAAAAAGGAAAGAAGAAACTCTTGGTGGACGTTTAGCACCTGCAATATTTCAGGTTAATGTTTTTTAAAATTATTTATGGTACAATACACACAATATAATTTCAGTAATCTGAACTTTAGCAGTCAGAACACTCCAATAATCAGAATTTTCCATGTCTTATTTCATTTTCTATATTGGAAGGCAAACAGTGAATAATATAATAACAAATCCTCTTCCTACAGTATCCCAGTGAAGCTGTAAGGAAGAATCTCCTAAAGTCAAAACAAAGAAAAATAACTGAATTCTTTAAAAAAGAAATACATATATATGTATATGAATAGTACAATTTTGGTATTTATATATTTGGTGATTTATATAAATAACTGATGTTCACATAAAAAAGTTGTGCTCACCTGGATCGGACAGTTTCCAACTCTTGGATCAAAATGCAACTTAATAATTCATTAGGTTGTAACTTACTTGAAATAGAATTAATGGTTAACAAAATACTTTCTTTGTTGGTATGTTTTTATGTCTAAATAAATACTATATGTATAGTGTTAAGTGAAGTTAATAATTCCTTTCTTTCTTGTTTCAGTTTTTATTTTTTGTAATAGGCATAATATTAGGAAGTGTACAGGCACTTTAAAGTTGTCCTGATATCAGGATTAAAGATTTTTGCTCTGATATCAGGATCTTACTTTTATTTTTTAGGGTGAGGGGAGGGATATCTCCATTGACTTACGCATAAAATTTAGATGAGGGTTTTAAATGGATTGCCAGATAAACATGTTGAGACAATCATCCCACAGGAGTTCCCATTTTTGCTCAATTCCTTAATTTTTGTATGGTATGGTGACAGATATTAAAGGGATTTAGGTATTATCCAATTCTGATTCTCAATGTTGTACAGACACAAACCAAAGCTGAGACATTTTGATGCAGTTAGTGTCATCAATTGTGAGGTGCCAGTTATATATGGTGAAAGGAAACTGAATCATAATGCTAGGATTAGTTTTCTTTAGGATGACTTTTAGATATAGGATTATATGATGTTCAAAAATTCATACACTGCGCAGTGGTTGAAAGGCATAAAAACCTATTTTTTGAAAGTATTGGAAAAATTATTTTATATTCATCAATCAAAAATAGATTAGTTTCCTAAGATATTTCACTAATTAAATCAGTAAAATATTGATTTTTAATGTTGTAAATTGAATTAAACTTATTAGTTTATTTTTGAACGAGTGTCCATATGAAATGGAAAGATTATAACTCTATCGTATTTTTTTTATGATATACAAATTACTATAGCTTTGTATTTTATTTAAAATCTTTCCCAGAGATATAATTAGATGTTTAAAAAAATGTTTAAATAAATATATAATAAAACAAAAATTAATTTTAAAAAATCATTTCTTCAGATTCTATTTATTTTGTATAAAAATGAGGAACTTCCTTGTATTCTTAACATGTAGTATATAAGTTAGTAAATATTTAATTAATTCTTGTCTAAAAAATAATTAGTTGTTAAAAGATAATTTCATGGAATGAGATTTTGGTATTTGGTAGGATGGAATAAAATCTTATTTTATTTATTAATTATTTATTTTATAAAATTAATAAACAGTTTAATTTGTTTTTAAAGAATATACATCTCATAAATTGACTTTCTAGTTCAACTGTAAAAACTTTTTAAACCACAATACTTCCTCGCTTATCCGTCCCAGTCAGAATCGAGACATGACTGTTGTTCACGGATCAACCCCTGAAACACAAATGAGAAGAATTCTGAACTTCACCACCATTTTTTTGGACTCTATTTTGCCTCAAACTATTCTTGTACAATTAATCCAATTTATTTGGTGAAGTGTGCACACTGTCATTTATTTTCTCCAGAAATTACAAAACAAAGAAAATGAGTTGCTAAACCCCAAGAAAACAGACTGGTGTAGGGAATATGGGGAGAAAGAAGAGGTGGCCAAGAAATAAAGCTCAATTTCAGACAGCAAGTGAGTCCAAATTAACCACAAAATTTTATTTTGAAGCAAAATAACTTCCAGCATGGCAATGCCATACAAAAAAATTGTAATTTCACAATCAGCAAGATGTACTTAATCTGTCAAGGACAACAAAATTTTACTTCTTCTTCTTTCTCTAGCTCCTTTGTGCCGTTAAGCGTGGAGCTGCAGTCCCAGCCCATCTTGCCCACTGGTCTCTGTCCCTGGTTAGTCTTCTCATCTCCGGTGTGGTGCGTCCTCTTGCTGTGCACAGTTTTCCAATATAATCATGGTAAGTGTGTCTCGGCCTACCACGAGGTCGTCTGCCTTCCGGTTTAACTTCCATTAAAACACTTGGCCTTTCGGGTGTCGTACATCCTGCAGATGTGCCCGAATCATTTCAACTGTTTCTCTTACAGGATGCCACCGATTGATGTCACCTCCAATTCCTCACGGATTCTGTCATTTCTAACACAGTCCCTCTTAGTTTTGCCAGCTATTCTTCGGAGGAATCTCATTTCCGCTGCTGTGATCCTGCCTACGTGCTTATCGAGGGTTGTCCAGCTTTTAGATCCATAAAGAAGTACTGGAAGGAACACCGTCTTATATATATCGTGAGTTTGGCCTTTTTGCTTACTTCCCGTTTTCCTATGATTGTATTGCTATCTGGTAATATATCCCATTGGCCTATTGGCCCATTACCCGATTTAGTACCTCCTGGTCTATTTCACCATCTTTATTGATGATTGTCTCCAGATACGTGTATGCATTTGTTACCTCTAGGGGTTCCCCATTACTTAACATCATAGGCTCCGCATTATCTTTTCCAATGCACATAACTTTGCTCTTAGACGGGTTTATATGCAGCCCTCGCAGCTTCAATTCTTCTTCCTACTCAACCAATGATGTCTGTAGAGCCTCTTGTGAGTCCTCTATAAGAATTATATCGTCTGCATATAACATAGCTTGAGCCAACACTGATGTCAAATTCTAATATCCCACAACACCCCTTGGGGTTCTTCTTTTACACACTTTCCAAATTTCATCCATGAGAAGGATAAAAAGCAGAGGACTAAGACTATCCCCTTGCTATACTCCTTTATAAAAGTGGAAAGGTTCTGATGTGTGTCTATTGAGCATTATTACACCCTTTGGGTCTTGGTATATTGATTTAATGGCACTCACCAAGTTTGCAGGTACTCTTCTTCTAATTAGTGAGTCCCATATCTCTTGTCTCAGAATTAAGTCGAATGCGGCACTAAGATCCAGAAATGCTAGATAAACCGATTTTCCACGGTCCCATGCTTTTTCCACAATCATCCGTAGTGAGAATATGTGGTCTTGAGTCTGTCTGCCGGGTCTGAAAGCGGCTTGCTCTTCCTCTAGATCTTGCTTTACTATATGCCTTAGTCGCTGTTCAAGAATTCTTGTGTATATCTTGTACACAACTGACAAGAGGCATATTGGACTATAGTTCCCGCATTCGCTTTGGCTGCCTTTCTTGTGAATAGGGATTATGATATTGTTCTCCCATTCTCGTGGTATCAGCTTGAGGTCCCAAATCTTTTGGAAAAGAGTTTCAAGGATCTTGATCATTTCGTTGCCTCCATATTTAATTAATTCTGGAGCTATTTCATCTGGTCCTGGTACTTTTCCCATTTTGATTCTGGCTACTGCCGTTTCCACCTCATCCTCGCCTATTGCGTCATCCAAGTCTTCCGGGTAAACCTCTTCCACCATCACTCTTCTTCTGCAGTCTCTGTGGTCATGGCGTCGGTGTTCTTCCATACTAAATTTTTCCTGGAAGAACTGTCTCCATACTTCTAATACCTCTTTTTTTTCAGTCACCAACTTGCCATTTGTATCTTTTATATTTCTCACCGGTTTTGACTTTTTGGCTTTCAGAGCTTTTGCAATATGCCAGAATCTTCTTATATTCTTTCTATAATTCTGTTCTAGCTCCTGACCGAATTGCTCCCAGGTCCACGTCTTGGCTGATCCAATTATTCTTTTGGCCTCATTTCTGTAGTTAACATATTCTTCCCAGTGGATAGGTAATTTTGTTCTACAGTGTTTTCCAAGCATCCTTTTTGAATTTTACTGCTCTTTTCACCTCATCGTTCCACCATTTTGTTTTCTTGGTAGACGGCCTCATTCTCTTAATACCACATACTTCACTAGCTGTATCGATGATGCAATTCTTAATTTCTTTCCAAAGAGTATCCAATTCACTATCTCCATTTATTAACTGAAGGTGGCTCTCCAGCATTGTTCTGTACTCTTCTTGTTTGCTTTTAATTTTTAACATTTTAACATCAATTCTATTAAATACTTAGCTAGTTCTCTTCCTTGATAGCTTTAGTATCAGCGACTAGTAGTTTGTGATCTGTACTAAGTTCTGCACTCCTTATAACTTTAATATCTGTGATGTACATTCTGAGGTCTCGTTCCATGATGAAATAGTCAATCATACTTCTTCTCATACCCTGAGCTCCTCTATTCTCGAAAGTGATCTTATGTATTGTTTTATGATTAAACCACGAGTTTCCTGTAAGTAAATTATTTTCTATACAGAATTCTATGACTCGTTGGCCATTACTATTCTGTATGTTTTCACCTCCCCAGGATCCTATTGCTCCATGCGCATTTTCTTTATCATTTCCTGTTCTAGCATTCAAATCTCCACAGATCAGTATCATTCTGTTTTTGGTTCTTGCATTATCTACTGTCCTTTGCAAATCTTCATAGAACTGGTCCTTGTTAAAGACTGCTGCATCCTCAACTGGAGCATACGCTTGTATCACTGTGACTTTGCCGACTGATAATTCTATGTCTATTGTGATTATTTTTGGATGACTCGATTCTCTTATATAATTGGTCCCCCATCACAATTCTTGGTGAGACTGCTTCCCATGACTCGATTCTCTTATATAATTCGTCCCCCATCACAAAAGCAACTCCTTCCTTTGCTCTTTCTCTCTCACTGACACCGGAGTATATCAAATTGTATCCATCTGGCAATGTTAGGTGTCCATTTCCTCTTTTCCTAACTTCACACAATCCTATTAAGTCGACTCTAAATGACTTCATTTCTTCAATCAGCTCTTTTTCCTTTTCTGTGAGTGGTCTTACATTCCAAGTAGCCAATCGTAGTTCCTTGTCCTTGCCTTGTCCATACCCGTAAGACTGTCCAAATCTGAGGCTGCATTTATTCCTGTGAATCGTTTTATACTCCATATGGGTGATTATCCCAGAGGTGGAGGTCCCTTGCCCAGAGACAACGGGTTGCCCGCTATACTCCCGGCATTAAGTCTTCTCAGGAAAGGTGATCCTGAGGTGTTTACTGTAATTGTCCTTATTGTCAGTGTAAATGTATTGTGTACTGTTGTGTTGTGTGTAAGTGCGCTGTGTATTGAACTCAGGAAACCGGGGGTTGTTAATCCCCACTAGTAGAGTGCAGCTACTAGCCCTTGCGGGGAACAAAATGTTACAAGTGAACAGATTTTATTTCTTTTGTTTGTATTCAATTACATATAATATAATGTTCTCAATAATTTGTTTAATTTAATCATAAAGGAAGGAGATGGTCCGGGGTGGCGGTCATAAATAGGCTAAATAGTGGCAAAACTATTTTATTAAAAGCCAACGTTTCGACCTGATTTTGCAGTTCTTCTTCAGGGTTAGAACGGACAAGATACAAAAAGATATAGAGACTTGTGGAAGTTAAATAATATTTAGACAAAAATTATAAACAATGTGAATAAGCTTATTAAAATTATAAACAGTAAGTACATTAAAATATAAACAAAGTAAGCTAAGTAACAAGATCCTAAACAGAAGTAAATAGATGGTAACAATTGTTGTAGTGTAATATATAATATATGCAAATGTGAATATACTTCTACAGATCTGTAGGAGAGATTGAAAGAAAAGGAAAAAGAATATAATATGAAATAATAGACATAAAGGAATGTAGAAAAAGAAAACAAAAATTAAATAAATAAGTAAATACAAATAGAAGAATAAAAATAGAGACTTGCAGGTGTGTTCAGTTAGGAGTTTCACTTAGAACTGGAAAATCAGGGTAAGGGTAGGTATTGGGGAATTTGCTGACCTGTTTGGGTAATGGGGAAAAAACCTAGACAATTACAGTATCTAAAATTTGAAGATATGGATGGATACAAGGGAAAAATACTATATCTATGAAATTAATTCTCTTAATATAAGTTCATAGGTCAAGATTGTTTGTAATAAAAACAGCTATTTCATTTGTTTTAATGATATAGTTAGCTGAAGCTATCTTAATCTGAGAGAAAAAAAATTATTCATCTCTTTTATACCCGGTTAATCCGTAGAGCTGGTTAAACGGAGTTCTACTGTAGGTAGACATTTTATAGAAAATTTAGTTGTGATTATGAGGGTATCAAAACTATTTTTCTGTGACTTACAGATCAATAATGCCAGGTTTTTTTTTGTTTTTTTTTTTCCGAAAAAAGCTGATTTTCAATCACTGTGCACTGTGAATAACTATTTTGAATAAAATCCCTTGTAGTAAAAAGAGTATGTACGTGTTACCTTCTCTCAATAAGAACTCTGGTTTGGGAATTATGTATGCCTAGGACTTATGCATGAGTCGTTTAAAAAATACTTAAAAGCTGACAGTGTTCGCTTCAGAGTCTTCCTGGATTTCAGACAGCCCATATTATCTTCCATTGTTTCATAGCCCTTTATGGTGCATTAAGCAAGGTCCCATCTACCAACAATGACTCATATGATCACTTGTCATTATTATTAATATTTTATAAGTGGTGTCAGATTATATATATCCATGACAGTCTTAAGGCCAAAATCCTTCTACAGTCTCCTCATCATGATTTTCCTCACGTGGAATACATGTTTGTTGAAATTTGTTTTTGTAAGTTATTTTATTCTTATTTATTGTAAATATATATTATTTTTCTGTTTAATTTATTGTAAATATAGTGTGAATGTGATTTCTGAACACTATTATATATGTCCTTTGAGACAGATTGTAATATTTCTCAATAAACAAGTATTAAAAAAAAAAAAAATCAATCCTTGTTAAAATTATTGTAACATTACATAGTTTAGAAATACTTAATTTGTTTTAATTTAATTTAGTAATAATTGTCAATTTTATTTAGAAATAGAAATATCAACTTTATTCTGGGACAACATTCCTTAAGGATAACAATATTGTTCATACAAATTAGCATTACATCTGGCCAAAAGATCTAATACATAAAATAATAATTGAAATATAAGTAATACAACAGGTATATACATATCTTAAAGAAGAAGAGAAGAAGAAAAAGTCTTTTTATTTATTAAAATTAAATAATATCAATTACAAAATAATATTTTTGGATTTAAAACCGAAAATCAGATCTTCTACATGATCTGTTGACCGTCAGAGGAGTCTGTGTTTTATAACAAAATTATATTTCAATCTATTTATATACAACTAATTAATAAGAACAATTATATTTACAATGTAAAAGTTATATAAATATTTTAATTACAAAAAGAGTGGTACCAAAATTCTCCAATTTATTAATTGTTAAATTCTCTGTTGAGCATTATTCTATAGGAGAAAGCAGACTTGCAGTAATTTACCAATGCTCTCCAATTGTTTCCATTTATTAAATCTATTACTTGATCCCAAGAGAAATTTCTAGATTTTAACCATTTAATTCTTAATTCAGAGAGTATCAGACACGCAGCCAGGAAGTGATAGAGATCTTCTGTTTCGTTTGTATTTCACACGCTACAAATATTATTTGTTTGTTTGAAGTGTTTATAATTTAAGTTCAAAACATCAGCTCTAATTTTAATTACCCATCTAATCACCTTCAATGAGCTTTTGTCATCAATATAATTTACTGAAGTTAAATGAGGATAAAAAGTGAAAGTTTTAGAATTCTGAACTTTAATTACATATTGATTATATATGTCTTTCTGAATTTGAGTTATTAGTAAAGATATATTAATGAAAGCAGATGAACAGTGGGATAACCATATTTCAATATTGCTGCTTCCGAAAAATAAGTAAATAAATAAAATAGGAAATGAACATTAAATCAATTTGATGATAAAACCATTGTAGCAACAAAAAGAAAAAACTAAAGAAAAGTAAGTAAAGAAACTAACTTATTTATATCTGTTACTTAAGAGCTTTGAATGAATACTCACAATGGTAATGTAAACAATTCAATAGTGTTGTAGACTATATACCAACACACACATTGAGAGGGGAAAAATGTATATACATAGTGAGAAATGTAAAAATAATATACATCTTAAATACATAAAATCTTGTAAATTGAGAATAAAAACAAACAATTTCTTATTTTTTCTTTCATCACAATTCTATATCAAAAGTGCTACGGAATCTTTCCAATTCATAAAAAATAAATATGGTGTTAAGAATGCAAAAAATAAAATACATCATACATACATAGAATCTTGTATTTATAGTTATTAATTTGTATGGTTTATAGTACATTCTAATTTTTTTTTTTTTTTTTTTCTAGACCCTAATTGTTACCTGGATCAAAGCAAATTTAAATGTTATAATATCACGTGAACTTTGGGATCAGTTTTTAGGAGTTTTGAGTTCTTTGACACAATGGGAAGAACTTGTAAAAGAATGGGCAGTAAGTAAACATTGTTAAAAAAAATCATTATTTATTTTTAATTATTTAGAGATGGAGATATAGTTTACTTTTAAAATTATGAGAATAACAAAGAATCAGGATATGCTGTTATTTATGTTTTTTATTAACTTTGTGGATGTTTTGACCCAAAGAAGTGGAAAGTTGATCCAGGACAATGCTTGCTGACTAGACGAAAATTAAGAATCTCCTGGCTGTTTCAACTTGTGGTTGGTTTTTGTTGTTAGTTTAACTTGCGACTTCGCGGTTGAGCTATGGGGCTCCACCAAGCCTTCAAATTCCTCTCGCATACAGTCCTTGCAATCCAAAATCCTTCGTAAAATCCTCAATGCTCCTTACTTTGTTACAAATAAAATTATCCATAATGACCTTAATGTTCCTTATGTATCAGATTTGGCCCAATCCAGATATCTGTCCTTCCATAATAAACTTCATAACCATCCCAACCCTCTTGTCTCTAACCTTGCTTCCTATTCGATTCCTGATAACCCTCCGAGGCGTCTGAAAAGAAGATGGCCCCGTGATCTCCTAATGTAGACATATTATTAGAGTGCTACCAATGGGTAGTTTCTCAACATGTGTTCCATGTCTTTATACCAATGTGCAAATTTACTAGATGTATTTTTTTGTATACAGTTGTAAATATCATTTAAAATAAATAAAATAAAAAATAAATAACTTGCGACGGTCACCGCAGAACCTACCTTCTTATCTTGTGTAACCTATTCTCATCACTCATCTCTGCTAGTTACTTGTGAGTTCTTCTCGTTACTCAATTGTTTTCAGTTTTTTTTTTTGTTAATTTGGTTATTTTCTATTTAAAATAGATATTATAACCCTTTGGCAGAAAAGCAACAACTAAAAACTAAAAAAAATGGAGAGCCTGAAAAAGTAGTTGAAATAGATGAAAGTCTTTTTTCTAAAAGAAAAAAATCATGTAGGAAGAATGCTCCCTGAACAATGGATGGATGGAGTTTGTTGAGAAATAGACGAGTGTTTTATCGTAAAAATAAAAGACAGAAAAGCAACAACTCTATCAGAATGTATTAAAAATAATATTCCACTATATATTCTGACTTTAGGAAAGGATACAACACCCAACAACTAAATGAAGCAAACTACAGCCATTTCCGGGTGAATTACCAGTTTAACTTTGAGTGGGGTTCCTACTCAACACATGGAAGGATTATGGCTTAAGTGGAGAAATAAAAAACATTCAGGAACTGCGAGGCTACACCTGGATTCATATTTATGTAAATATTTGTGACGGCAGGTCCACAGAGAAAAGGACTCATTCCTCGCTGTTTCAAATAGCATTTAGCTATTTTGTATCCCAAAATAAGTAATATATTGTAAAATAAAAGTGTTTTGTTATTATTACATTTGTTTTTGTCTATTTCATTTTCCACAAATATAAATAAAAAGGTATGGATTATCAGTATCAGAATTATCAGTGTTCAGGTTATAAACAATGGTGGATAGCAGTCCGTGGTGACCAGCTCCCAAGTACCGGTTGAAACGTTGGTAAACTTAATAAATTACTTCATGTCCTGATTATTTGTCAATCTCATTCTTAATTAAATGAGGTTTTTCTAACAACCTAGCATTATCCTGGAATTGTCAATTTTTTTTTTTTTAAGTAGGAATAAATTTTCATGAAATGCAAAAGGAAATTCCCTAAACATAATAACACATGATTTCTTATTTCTTCTTTACTTGAATTCTCTGTCTTCTAGCCTCAAGGGTCTTCATTTTGATCTCTTTACCTTTAGATTTTGCATGTATGATGAGTTGCTGTACGACTTTTGAGCTTCTTATACAATTAAGATATACACTGAAGACTTTTCCTCTTTTAGCTGTATGATAAGTTGGTTTAGGGTAAGGTCAAAGAGTTCACACAAAAAGGTTTTATTTTTATGTGCACCAATATTTTAGCTCAAGTTTTAGGCTTTTGTCAAAAGACTTGTCTTTTTTGTTGTCATCTTTATAATACCAAGGATTAATAAAGAGGAAGAAAAAAATAAGTTAAAATATTATGAAAATGATAATGATAAATCAAATATGTATGTGTGAGTAATGAAATACTGAGATGTGATGGAAAATTATGTTATAGAAATAGAAATAGAAAATAGAAAATCATCTTTATTCTTGAACTAGGTCCCTTAAGAGTAACAATATTGTTTAAACCAATTGACAATAAATCTGGCCAGATGACCTATTATAATAACGAGTAACTACAATCTAAGTAAAAAATGAGTATATAAATAGTTTTGGAGGGTATATTAAGTAAAGCAAATGGGTACAAGGGTTACAATATTATAATATTGGTACAAAAAATAACAACATACTAATTACTAAATAAAATTGGAAAGAAATGCTAACTAAGTTTTATAGGTAACCAATTTTAGTGCTACAATATAATAAATAAAAAAATAAGAATAAAAGAAAATCACTGGAGTAAATAAATGATTTATATATGTTTCTTAACACGTTTAAGTTGTTAACATGTGAAGTTCTTGTGAAAAAGTAGACAAATATTGTGATCTACATATGATGCAGTAGATTACGAGCAGAAAAAGAAAAAACAAATACATCCATATATATACAAACACACACACACACACACACACACACACACACATATATATATATATATACATACATATACACATAGAAAGGAGAGTGCAGAAGATAAGTAAAAAATAAAATACTTTTAAATAAAATAAAATACACTTCAAAAAAATATAATCTTATGAATAGAAAAGATAAAAGGTAACAAAAACAATAAAAAAAACCTACTCACACTGCTTTGTGAGAGGTGATCGAAATTCTGTTTCATACTCAAAACAGAAGAAGAAAAAATGTATAAAGAAAATTAAAATCTTGTTGCATAACATATACTTAGCCAGCATCTGATTGCATTGTGAAGAGGAATTGGAATAAGAGGGTTTTAAATGTGGATAAGGATGGTACATGGCGGATTTTTAATGGTATGGAATTCCAGAATGCAGTGGAATGGGTAACAAAGGAATGTTTAAATGAGGCAGATTTGTATAAAGAAGTGTAACGGTCAGAAGGACGTGATCTTGTAGAGAGGGTGTGGATTGATGATTTGAATTGTAGGAGATGGTATGCTTAGGAACCACGATGATCATTGATTATTTGGTAAAGGAATGTGCCCAGGAAATATTGCCTTCAGAAGGAAGGAAAGAGCCACCCTAACTCAGCATAGTGGTGAGAAACATGTGGAACGTCTTGGGGTTCCAGTGACAAATCTTACGAAGGCATTCATAATTCTTTTCAGTCTGTCCCCAAGTTCCGCCGAGAGGCCACCGTACACCACGCAGCCGTAATCAAGGTGGGGGAAGATGAGGGACGATACTAGGAGTCTATGTGTGGGTATAGGTAGGAAATGACGGAAGCGATGGAATAGTTTCGAGGTACCAATTGACCATCAGGTGATGTGAGCAATATAGTGATTCCAGGAGAGGGTTTGGTCTATGCCTAGGTTTTTAACTGTGGAGCTGAAGGTGATGGGATGGTCATTTAGGTATAGGGTAAGAATGTTGGTATTGGAACCAATTACAATGGCTTGAATTTTGGCAGCATTTAATCTTAGTCCATTTAAGTTTGCCCAAGCAGTGATCCGATTTAGGTATTCTTGAATTTTGGCAAACGCATCCTGCAACTCTGAGGGAGAGAAGAAAAAATAAATTTGGGAATCATCGTCATATAGGTGATGGGAACAGTGCAGGATGGATTTATGAAGGTCGTTGATGTAGGAACTAAAAAGAAGAGGCGATATGCTAGAGCCCTGGGCCATTCCTGAAGTCAGAGTAAGATAGGAAGACAAAGGTTGATTGGGAATAGCGACTGCTTGGGTGCATTGAGAAAGGAAAGATTGAAACTAAAGGATAGAACTGTTAGAAAAGGTTAATGATTTTAATTTGGAAAATAGGATAGAATGGTTGATGGTATCAAAGACTTTAGAAATTAATTAATTATATAAAATCAATTAAAAATATAAGTACTATATATGATAATGTGTATGAAATATTATGATCTATAGTACGTATTAGAAAACTGTAATATAAGAGGATAATGGGCAGTATAATAATACATGGAAATATTTAATAAATTATAAAGAAGAAAAGTTTATTTTTATTTTGGAACATTTAGTCCTATATGAATAACAAAACTTATTTTATTGAGAAAAAATAAATAAATTTTGCCTCAATTAAGTGCATTGAGTATTTGTGATGTATGAAACACAATCATATATAATATAATATAATTACATATATATATATATATATATATATATATATATATATATATATATATATATATATATATATATATGTCTCAGAGTATCTCTCGTCCAGTCAGGAGCTCAACTACTATTATTAAAACACTTTATTCAGAAATATTACAATTTGTCACAGTTAAGGACACTTATAATAGAGTTCAGAGATTGCATTCATACCGTATATACAAAAATATAAATAAATAAAGTAATAACAAAAGAATAAGAAGAAAGAACAAAAGAGTAAAGAAAAAAAATAATATATATACACATAAGTAAATAAAAATAGAAATAAAAGTAAAACAAACACCTTATATAAAACATACATTATTTACAATTTGCCAGGTGATCTCCGAACCAATCCTGTCCCCTCCACATGTGGAGGGAAAAGGGAGGCCTAGGAGATCCCTACGCTTCTCCCTCAGCCACTTCACTGGTATTTTAAACCAGCGGAGGATGAGTAAGAGCGCTACAGCCACAGACACTCATGACTTGAGTGGAGAATCTGGCCATTGCTAGAACTCCAAAATATCCATATTTACAAAAGGTCTCGTGGCCACTGCCGCTTTAACCTACGAAGGGGATTGTAGGGATGGGTGGTGCTTGATAGGGATTGTACAACGGGATTTGGGTGATGAGAAAGGTTCTGGTGAAATTTGGAAAATTTGGCTGGGATAAGATCAAGAATAAATGGGATATTAAGGTCATGATGTAGGGTTTTATTGGTTACATAGAAGGGAGCATTGACTATTGTACGGAGGACTTTAGACTGAAAGGATTGAATGCGTTTGATGTTAGAAAATTTGGCTGTTCCCCATAGTTCTAGTCCGTAAGTCCAGATGGGTTTCAGTATTGTCTTGTAGATCAGTAATTTGTTTTCACCAGAAAGTTTAGATTTTCTATTCAGTAGTCTATATAGCTGGCCATATCGTCTGTTAAGTTCCTGTCTTTTAAGTCGAGTATGTGGATTCCATGTTAGTCGTCTGTCTAAGAGAAAGCCAAGATACCGGACTGTATCTGAGAAAGGAAGCTGGATGGAGTTAAAATAAACTGGTGGGCAGGTATTACGCCGAAGGGTGAAGGTAATGTGTTTACATTTAGATTCGTTTACCTTAATGCGCCATTTCTTACACCAGTGTTCAATCAGGAAGAGGTGCCTTTGTAAGTTTGCGGACGCTGTTTCAGGATCTGAGTTGGAAGAAAGGATAGCAGTGTCATCAGCGAAAGTTGCCAGGAGGGTATCGGGATGGACAGGAATATCAGCGGTAAAGAGAATGTAAAGGATGGGGCCCAAGACGCTGCCTTGAGGAACGCCAGCCTCAATTGAGTAACAGTCGGAGAATTCGGTGCCACAGCGAACTCGGAAGGAGCGGTCGGAAAGATAGGATCGGAGTACTAGGTATAAGGACTGTGGTAGATGGATTTTAAGCTTGAAGAGTAATCCGGCGTGCCATACCCGGTCAAAAGCTTGCGCTATGTCCAGAAATGCACCCGAGCAATACTGCTTGCTTTCTAGGGTTGAGGATATATGGTCAACAACTCGGAGTCCTTGCTGGACAGTGGAATGTTGGGAACGAAATCCGAATTGATGAGTAGGAAGGTTATAGGATTCAATTATAGGTAGGATTCGTTTCAGTAGGATCTTTTCAAAAATTTTTGAGAGGATTGGGAGTAGGCTAATTGGTCTATAGGATGCTGTATTGTTGGAAGGTTTGCCTGGTTTCAAGAAGAGGACGATGGTGGAATGTTTCCATAAAAGAGGGAAGTGGGTAGTTCGTAGGATGCAATTGTATATATATGTAAGAAATGTGATGGCTTTAGATGGAAGTTGTCGAAGGATCTGTGGGGTTAGAAGGTCATATCCAGGAGATTTGCGAGGTGTGATTTTCCGTAAAAGGTATTTGACCTCAGAGGGATTAACAGCTTTAGGTGGTAAGGAGAGTGGGATAGGTATTGAGAGGGATTCTTCTACTTTTACTGTGTGGCTGGGATGGGATTCTGGATGAGGAGCGAAAGTATAGGAAAGGTGTTTGGCAAATTCCTCGGCTTTATCTTCATCAGATGCTGCCCAGGAGCCATCATCTCGTCGAAGAGGGTGGGAAATATGATGGGATTTGAGGATTTTTCTGGTGATATTCCAAAGGGAATTATCATGAGCAGAGAGTGTGGTGAGGTAGGAATTGAATGATTGGGATCTGAAGGTGGCTAATTCTTTTTTTAATTTTTTACAGTGATAATTGTAGGAGTGGCGGTCGGCTGGATGTCTGGTACGTTGCCATAATAATCTGGCACGGCGTTTTATGTGGATTAGGTCAAGGAGGTGTTGAGGTAAATTATGTTTCTTAAGGATTTTTGAGGAGTGATCAGGGGAGGAAGCAGTCCAGACTGCTTCTTGAATTTTGGTAGTGAAGGAATGTACTGCATTGTCCAGGTCTTCAGAGGTTTTCAGGG